CCCCGGTGGTCCACTTATTCAGAAAGACATGCTGACACTGAGACCCCCTAGGAATGATTTCTAGGAATGAGCCTTTCTAGCACTGTGGGACTCCATTATCCAACCAAAAGGTTGGTCATCAATTCATCCTTTGGATTGATTTATAACCAAAAGGGTGATTTGTGAACAAAAGGGGCCACATGCTGACCTGACCAGCTCATGGAAGGCCTACATAGCAGTCTTGCAAACTCAGAGACCTAAAGTAACCACAAAGGATGGTCTGAAACTAAACTTTAACTAAAAGCAGTTATGGTGGACAGTTAAGTCCTAGGCCAGTATCTTCACTGACAAGGTCAATCTTTACCTTAATTGAGCCTTTCAGTCATTTTGCTTCTATAGTAAAATACCCTTGAAGTGTCTGGGTAACTTGTAACTTCCCTTTTTCTGGACCCCCTGGGGCACAACCAAATGTGTGGGCACCAGGACAGATACCACAAATTCCTCCATTACCATGTGAATTGTTCCTGGACTCACCTACCTATGTGTCCATCACTTTACTTTTTACCCAATCCCAGGGGTTTCCCCTGCTTTGCTTTCTCCCACCTCTCTAATCTATCATCAATGGATTTCATGTAACCCACCTACATCCCTTCCTGTGATAGCAATGTATAAATACAGAAGTAACCCACCATTCTCCAAAGCATTATTTCAATTCGTTGAGGTTCTGCTTCCCGGCATGACATGTCGATAGTTTGGCTCAAATAAACTCACACACACACACACTCACACAAAGCTTCCATTTACAATATCAACAACAAATATGGGATACTTAGAAACATATGAAAGATACATAAAGTACAACTAATATTATAAAAATTTATAGAAAATGTAAAAATAAAGTAATATGGATGCAAGATGCAAGGATATATCATGTTCTTTAATGAGAAGACTCAGTTTCATAAAGTCTATTGTCCCAAATTAGTCTATACATTCAAAAAATAAAATACACAAAAAATAAAATACACAAAAAATAAAATCCTACACTAGTTTTTGGGGGAAGTTGATAAGTTATGGTAAATTTTATGTAAAGGGGCCAAAAAGCATTTCAAGTAGAAGCTGAAGAAATTTGTCCTTGAGATATAATGATCTATATTAATATATACAAAAGCCTAAGCAATCATCCAGCCATTCAACCATCTGACAGTAGTTATGACATGCACTGACCACTAGGGGGCAGATAAGGGAAGCCGGGTCAGAGAGATGCCATGTTGATGACATTAACAGAGGGCAGACTATCAACATAGGAGCTACCGAGCTGCAGTGATTTGGCAGCTAAGTTTCTGGGGTGATGCACCTGAAACCAGAGAGGAGGGAGCCCAATTTCAGGGTGTACCACCCAAGAATCACCCTCTTGCAATCCGTGGTCACTCGGGATGTCAGAGAGCCAATTTTGGACCGATTTCCACAGGCCAGGCCAAGGGACCCCAGTGGTCCATGCACCAGGCCTCTAGTTTATTATAAAGTTCATTGTAATTTTAAAAATTGTAATTGGTAAAGGTATGATAAATACCCAGAAACAAACCCAGACACATGGAAAACCTTATTTTGGGAAAAGCTATTACATACAAATCAGAAGAGAAACAATTGATGACTACTTAATAGATGGGACCATAGTTTAAAATAAACATGCAAAAAAATATATAACTAGATCCCTTCTTCATATGTACAAAAGTAAAGTCCAGATGAATTAAAGACAAATATAAAAATAAAACCATAATGTTTTTAGGAGAAAATATAGAAAAAAAGTTTTATGTACTTACGGTAGAAAAAGATTTCTCTATTAACAAAAATAAACTATCAAGAAATTTTTTTTAAATCAACTAGATTAAGACTTCGACTTTAAAACTGATAAATAGTGTCTAGATTAAATAAGGAATGTCTACAAATCATAAGAAAACACAAATATCCCAATCCAAAATAGGCAAAGGATATAAATGACCAAATCATGGGAGAGGAAATGGCCTATAAACATATAAAAAGGGGTGTGCTCAGCCTCACAGGAGTAATTAAGGAAATGGAAATTTAAAAAACAACACAAAAAGAAGATATCATCTCACTCTCCATCAGAATGGGAAAAAGGGAGGTCTGCCATGACCAAAAGTTAGCAAGGATATAGAGCAACAGAAACGTGCTGCTAGTGGGTGTTTAAGTTGTTAAAATCTTGTTGGTAGGTATTGTAGAATGATGTCCCCCCAAAGATGTCCACATCTTCATCCCCCATAACCAGTGAACATGGTACACTTTATTGCACTGAAGATGGAATTGAGGGTGTTATATAAGTTAAGGAGAAAATCCTAGATGATCCAGATGGGCTCAGTGTAAATCACAAGGATGTTTGAAAGTGGAAGAGAGAGGCACAAAAGAGAATCGGAGAAAGAGGTGTGATAAGGGAAGCCGGGTCAGAGAGATGCCATGTTGATGGAGGAAGGGGACCCCAAACCAAAGAATTCTGGTGGTGTCTAGAAGCTAGAAGAGCCAAGGAAACATATTCCCTCCTACAACCTCTGGAAAATAACCCTTCCAACACCTGACCTTTAGCCCTGACTCATGTCAGCCTTCTGCACTGTAGAGATGTCTGATAATAAATGTGTGTTGTTTTAGACTACTAAGTTTTTGGTAATTTCTTATGGCAGCAATAGAATCCTATTACAACCACTTTTTCAAAGAAATTTTAGGAGATCTAGAAACTTTCCCAGGGACACACCCACTGCTTTGATAATTATATGGTCTGGGGACCATCACCATCACCTTCAAAGTTAGAACAAATTCGGATTCTCAAGCACTACACTCAACCTGCTGAAGCAGTATCTGTGTTTTAACAAGTTGCCCAGGTGATTGAGCTCCAAAGCAACCCCCTGAACATCCTCCTGCTTATAGACAAAGAAATAGATATAAAAATTACAGCACTATTGATAAAAGCAATTAATAATAATACTATATCTTTCAACCATAGAGTGTGTGAAAAAAATTGTTGCACATTTATATAATGGAATACCACACAGCTGTAAGGATAAATGGAGAGTTCCTTGGAGATAAAACTTTTAAGTAATCTCGAATGGGGGAAAGCTGTGTTGCAAAGAAATATGTTCAATATGATACTATGATATAAAACTTACAGCATGCAAAACAATACTATAAAATGCTCATTGATGCATATACATGCAATTAAAGTGGAAAAAACATTCATGAAGATGGTAAATACTAATTTCAGGATGGTGGTTGCCTCTGGGGAGAAAAATAAATGAGTGGGATGGGAAGCAATTATGCCATAAGGTTAAGTTTTGACAAAGCTGGTTGATAGGTATACCAGTGCTCCTTACAGTATTGTCTAATGACTTTAATATTTCATAACTTAAAAGAATATACTCATTTATTAATGGAATTTATAAGATTTCTACACCAAAGTGTCTTCATCAGTTTCTAACTAAAAAAAAAAAAAAAAAAAAAAAAAAAAAAAAAAAAAAAAAAAAAAAAAGTTCTTATGCATTCACTTTTGTATTCTTTGGTTGAAATGCAAGTCAGCTGAAAAATGACTAATCTGGAGTTTTCCCCTTCAAGGCTCCCAGGGAGTATTGTACCAAAAAGCCTTACACCAATTTCCCATCTTGAATTCCAACAACAGCCCCATTCATCATGACCTTGTGCAAAGTTGATCAGTTTGTCTACATAACTAAGCTCTAAGATCCAATGTGCTCTGTATAGATTGGGCATTACATTTAAAATTCCTGATCCTTTAAGGAAAAGCCATTACTAAAAATAAACAAAATAAAACAATATTTTTCAACACACACATTTAAAAAAGGAAAAGAAAAGAAAAGAAAGCCTGAATATTTCCAACACCTTACACTCTGTGGGCATCTGATTAAAATCTGTTTGAGACCAATTCTGTGAACCACATATGGAAAAAGCAAGGCTCATTATTTATTGTCACTCAGATACATTGTTTGATCTAGAATCAGCCTTTTATTAAATTTAGTCATTGACATTCTGAAAATGCTGGCCTTCTTTCCTCTATTCTCATAGCTAAATGTCCTTTACATATAAATTTGTCCCCAGCATTTAATAAAGGCCTAAATATGTGTAATCACTGCTCATTTGATTCTTTCTGTATATATTTTCTGTATACAAAGCTAAACTTAAAGTAAATAGAGGCAGGAAAATTCTTGTTCAAGAAATCCATAGGAACCAGTTTTCTGAAGACAGTTAAGCACTAGAGAGGATTTTGGGGGGTGGGGGGGAGGAATCCATACCGTAAAGTGATAGGCAGATGTTTCCCATATGTTGTTTGCAGATAATTCCCTATAGTTTATACAATATTTTTTTCTTGAGATTTTGCCATTTTAAATCCAGTTGTTCATACATGTCTTTGAGGCAAATCACATGTGACAAACAAGCTGACTCTAAACTTCCCTTGAAATAGTGCAGAAATTAGGGATTTGAATTTGCTTTGCTACTCTCCTAACTTCTCATGAAAAGAAGGCCTCGCTGCCATATGTCGGCTGTGTAAGTCATATGCCTGGTATGTCTCAGGAATGTGGACACACTCCTCAGCAACTTTTTTGCTGTCCTTCTTTCTCCTGTAGGTTCGTGCTTAATTTTCACTTAAGCAACATCCAAATATTCTCATCAGGAATCCTTTATCGGATTTCTTCTGAAGGGTGTGGACTGGTTACTGTCAAAGTTTCCTCTCTCCCCATGGTGCATTACTCAGGAAAAATTTTTCATTAGCTATAACACTGATCACATCATAAAATATTCTCTTTTATGGAATCGGCTTCAATGGTGCTTTCGCGACTTTTGGAAATAAATAAAAGGTACCGTTATTTTCAACAGAAGACTTGGACGACGTCGTCTCGCACTATGTATTGCATTACGTGCAAAGGCTATTGCGTTGCTGGTAAGGTTATTTCGAGGGCTCAGGGACTGACAACGTCATCATCCCTCTATGGTTTTCTCAACAGGTAACACCATGCTGTTGAGAGTGTTACCTGCGGTGTATGAAAAGCAGCCTCAGCTAATTAACCGGCACCTGACGGAACTCCTGGCCTTGATGCCGCAGCTGGAGCAGCCAGAGCAGTACCATCTCCTGCGGCTTCTGCACGTAGCTGCCAAGAGAAAGCAACCAGAGGTAAAGAGTACAGTATGCACTCAATGGTCCACACAGCCACGAGTGTTTTGGGGCACGTGAACAGAATGTGTACTTCAGGTTAACTCTCTAATATGTCTACACATGCCCACCTTTACATGAAAGCCCTCATCCACCTTTTCTAGGGTCATAAAAGTCAGGAGGGTGATGGCAGAAGTTAGGGTCCTGTCTGGGGTTACTCCGCCATGAGAAACAAAACCAATAGGATTTATGTGTCCATGTATTTTGTTTGTTTGATTGCTTTAAGTATATTTTTATTGATTTCAGAAAGGAAGGGAGAGGGGAGAGAGAGATAGAAGCATCAATGATGAGAGACAGTCGTTTGATTGGCTGCCTCCTGCATGCCAGATGAGCCTGCAACCTGGGTATGTGCCCTTGACCAGAGTCGAACCTGGGACCCTTCAGTCCACAGGCCGTGGCTCTATCCACTGAGCCAAACCAGCTAGGGCTGTGTGTGTGTGTGTTTTATTATTATTATTATTATTATTATTATTATTAGGAATTGGCTTATGCCGTTATTGAAGCTGAGGAGTACCACATTCTGCCTACTGCAAGCTGAGGACCTGGGAAAGCTAGTGATGTAGGTCAAGTCTAAGTCTGAAGACCTTAGAATTAAGAGAACTGATGGTGGGAGTTCTAGTCCAAGTCCTAAAGCCTGAGAATCTATAGGATGGACCCATGTCATCTCAATAAATTCAATTTAAATAAATAAATAAATGAATAAATAAATAAATAAATAAATCTGGGGCTGACACTGGGGCTGATACCTGTCCCAAAGCCATAGGGATCTGTTCAAGCTACATCGTAAACTCAGTCTAAATCTCACCAATGAGAGCTTTTTATCTCAATCACTAAAAAGTTGAGTCTATAAGGCTGTTGCTGGTAAATTCAAGTGCCCACCCCACCCCCCCCACGACCCGCGTGGCTCAGGGCTTAGGTTCAGGGTTCGGGTTCTGGAGGAGGCCGCACACAAGTGAAAGAGACTAGACAAGAAAGTATAAAATTGGGCATTGGGGGCCAGGTGGAAGCCCAACTCCAGGGGAAGGGCTTCACCTTGCTCTGGCCTGGCTATCCCTTTTATTAAGAGTATGGGATATACCCATAGCCTTTAGGCAGGCAATTCCAATAATAGCCAATCAGCAAGAATTTACATAAGACTAACAGGTGGAAGTTGCTTTAGCTACCATTGCCTCAACTAAACAGTGAGTGGTTGGCTCTGACCTTTCAGAGCTTCAAGGTTGACCAGCCTTCCCTGTTCCTTGTCCACACCTCTCTGCTAGGGAAGGCAATGGGCGGCTCCCAACAGGTAAAGCATATATATGATGGTTTCGGAAGCTGCAACAGAAGATAGCAGTCAGAAAGGTGAGCTGGGCAAGAGGAGGAGAATTGATCTGAACACGGAGGAGAGAATGGAAACAGATTCCTGCAGGTATTGCGGGTGTTGAGTGTGGATCCCAGTAAAAAGAAGAAGCAAGGGTTTGGGAAGCATCCACAGTGGTGTGAATGGGCCCTGCCTGTGCCAGGACCCTAATTGGTGGAAAGAAGCTGTGACAGGTGACTCTTCATCACTTTGTTTCCCGTCAACGCTCCCCTTGGTGTTAAAGCAGCCCCTCCTTGTCTCATTGGGCCCTCAGCTCATCAATAGCTCACCCTGGTTGCTGAGGGGCACAGGCAGTAAGCTAGAGGAGCACCTGACTACCTCCTCTCTCTTAATCTGTCCCTTAATTAGACAGTGGGCAAAGGGAATGGGAGGAGTTCAGGGGAAGGGTTTACTGAGAGAGGGACGTGAAATACGTGGCAACCATCAGAAATGAGAACTAAAGCTTTCAATGATAGTCTAGTTCAATTAACTTTAACTTCAGATAAAATGGGAGAGCTAAAGGAAGGGGTTGTTAACCTTGGGGAATGCAGATGAAAGCAATGCTTTTCTTTCTGGGTAGAATTTGTGCCAGTGCTCTGTAACCTGGACGTGAAGTGCTTGGGTTCTCCAATGAGGGCAAAATGCAGGAATGCCTTCCTCACTACCTACCTTTGAAAGGGCAGGGCAGGGGCTAACTCCTCGGAAAGAGAGGGCAGGGTGGAACTCCTGATCCTCCATTTTGTGTAACTGGACCCTAGCCCTCACCTAACCAATCAGGGTCAGCCAAAGCAGTGACTTCACCACCCCTATAAAACCCTTTGACCTGTTGAAGCTCATGCTCTTCCGCCACGCCGCTGTTGGTGTAAGTGGGACAGAGCCCATACTAGCATGGAACAGGCTTTCTGCTATTGCATCAGATTCGGCTCCCCTGGTGGTCCTTGGGGATCATGAAATCTGAGCATAACATCTTCCGTGACTGGTGATCACCTGGCTTTCCAGGGATGGGGGTCAATAGTTGGCCTGTTGAGAAAATACCTTCTCTATGTGCAGCTGAGTAATCCATGAGATGGCAAATGTAACCTAGCTGCAACATCAACCATAAGTCTGTGAGCTTCCGCATGGCTGGCGGGGCAGGTGGGTGCCCTTCCCCCATCACTGCCCTCTGGGTATCCCTCTCTCTGCAAACCATCCTTCCTCAGGTGAAAACAGGCAGTTCCTGGTTGGTGATTCATGGCTGGAAGCTCCAGAGAACCCTCTGAGTCCATTTATAGGAAGAGGCTGGGTGGTCAATGTTCCAAGTGGCTTTCTGGAGCAAAGTCTGCATTCTTGGCTTCTGAAAATTATTCTGTAGTGGAGCCAGTGAAAGGGACAGAACTTAGTAGCACATGTGAGTTTATCTGTTATTATCCCCAGGATGTGGGCTTCTAGCCCTAACCGGCAGCAAGTGGTGAGTGCAGCTCTCCATTGATTAATGTCCAGACCCAGGGGAACTCCTTTTGTGGTCTGGTCCCTAGAGAAGAGAATAACTTTCTAGGGTTTTTCTCGGCAGTGTAAAGCATTTCTAGTTACATTCCTACTCCTACAGCATCAAGTACAGCATTACTAAGCTGACATGATTCAGAGGTCACTTTCAGTATTTAAAATAGATGTCAGTTGCAGAACATTAAGAAGAGTGTTAAGAGGGTGCGCGCGCGCATGCACACACACACACACACACACACACAAAATACCCTGTTTCCCCGAAAATAAGACAATGTCTTATATTTTTTTTTTTTTTCTCCCAAAGTTGTGCTAGGTCTTATTTTCAGGGGATGTCTTATTTTCGGGGAAACACGGTAGCTGTACCTTCTATTCTATGCATTCAAGTTCTGGTGCTATGTTTCCAGATGGCCCTACCCACAAGGTGCCTGTGGCCTGGGATGATGGGATGTGTCTACAACACTTCAGTTCAGTGACAAGATACTAAAATTGTCAGCAGATTGCTGTGGAAGCAAAAAAAATCCTATATAATAAAGAGCTAATATACTAATTTGACCAAATAGCAAAACAACCGTCCAGATGAAGCCAGGGCTGGGAGGGCCGAGCCCCCTGCACAAAGTTTGTGCATCGGGCCTCTATTAAAAAATAAAATAAAAGGCAGGGATTAATTCTGCTCAGAAAGAAACAGAGAAGCCAAGGATAGGACCCTTCTCTGGGTAACTTGCTCCACATGGTTCCGGTCTGGACTTGTGCCCTTGCCCTATTCCCATCCACTGCCCCACCTACAAACACTGTCCAGGTAACTTGCAATCCCTTCTCTGCATATCTCCATCCTGCTTCCAGGACAGGCCTAAGGGCTGGCCTAGTGAGCCATGGGCTCATCACAGGTGTGCTGGAATATCCACAGACATACGTAGAAGACTCCTTGTGGGGCAAAGCCAGGGGTAGAGAGGGGAGAGGGGCAAGGAAGGGGAGCTAGGGGTCATTTCCCCTGTTCCTTCTACTAAGGCCACAAAAAAATTGCAAGTTCCAGTCAAGCCTCCAGATTGTTATGAAGGCCTGTGTGTCAGGTAGAAGGAAAGAACTTGATTTTTTTATTTTTTTTTTTAACAGCTGCTGAATATTAAGATGTGGTCTGGGGGCCTCCATTTGTACTCTAGCCCCAGGTCCTGTATACGTTAGGACAGCCTGGAGGAAAGGCTTCCCAGAAATAGAGCTATTTGAGGTTGACTTTGCAAGTATGCGAGTTGTCTGTGTTCAAGCCACTGTGGGTAGTCAGTGGCATGCTGCTGAGTCAGCGGGTTCCACGGGAGAAGAGGCATCAGATCGGCTCATCAGTGAAGACCCTGGAATGCCGTGGCACTGGGATTCCAGTCATGAGCTATGGGAAATCTTTGAAGTCCTGACATGATCAGATGGGGTTTTAGGATGGTGACTCTGATGGCAGAGAGGAGAGAATGATTTTAGTCCGGGAGGCCAGTTTGGAAGCCTGCTCAGTGGTCCATGGAATGGGGCTTATGGCCTGAACCAAGGCCACACCAGCTTGCCCTCTGCCAGCCATCCCTATTGTCTGAGTGGCCCCTCTCTCTCAGGAAAGACAAGCTTCTCTGAGACGGGAAGCAGGGCCAAAGAGGCAGCACAGAAAAAGATCAGACTAAAGCAATGTCCTGCATTTGGAAAATAATATTCTTCCTTATCCAAGAATAACCCATCTGAAGCCCAAAGCATCCCTTCCCTAGCACATGTATGATAAACTCTGAGAAATATCTGTCTTTTCTATCACCACCATAATAAACTTTGGATTATCAGGGAACTAGAGCAAATAATCAACTTTTATCTAATTGGTAAAATCAGTATCACTTTATTCACATTGCTTGGGCGTCTCTTCTCCTTGTTTCTTTTATGCATTTAATTCTGGTTAGGTTTTGAATCTTCTTTTTTTTCTTTTCTTCTTTTCCTTTTTTATTTTTCTTTATGGGAGCAACAGACATAACATCCTCTTGGTGTGCCTTGGAGGGTATGATGGAATTAAAGTGAAATTGGCATGACAGGGAGCACATGTCACAGAGACCGGGGTGTTCCGGGAATAGGACATGAACAGTGGGGACAGGGAAATGGAACGCTATAGAATGGGACAGGAAGTGTGTAAGCATTTTCCATTCCTAAGAGCCTCGAGTTAGGTGCACTGCCCTGACCCAAAGCAGCTGGCCGACACCCCTGCCATGCATGCCAGGGATCCCTCGTGGCCTCCCTGAAGGACATACAATCGCTCCCAATGCACAGGCAGCGTTTACTGAACTGTTCATTGCTCTGTGCCAGTTCCCAGAACCTAGCCCAGTCCTCTCCTCCAAAGCCCTAGATATGGATGTAAAGTTTAAATTTACAGGTGGGACTATTTTGCTTATCTCACAACTGTCTTCTTTGATGACTCTATTAGTTATGCTGCATATGGCACATGGTAATATATATGTTTACACATTATGCACAACTAACTATTCGAGTGTATGGGAGGGTGTGATTATCCGAATGTTACCCTGCACAATAATTTAGACTTGCCTTTCTTTGGTGTGTTCCTACCACTCACCCTCCTAGACAGGCTTTGTGCTAGGTACTGGGCATACAGTGGTGTACAAAATAGAAATGATTTTTGACCTTGTAGATCTTTTAGTCCAGCCTGCAAAGCAGACATCTAGACCAGCAATGAAAAAGCGTGAAAAGGACCCGCTCAGACCCATTTAGGGTGTGATCAGAGCTTCAGCAGCGACACTGGACTGAGAGAAGGAAATTTGAGGAAGGCTTCTTAAGGAATTCACAGCTAATCTGAGGCTTCCGAATGACTGGGAGTTGCCCAGCAAAGTTGGGACAATAAGAATTACAGGCAAAATGAATCACATGAGTAAAATCCCAGATGCAAGAGAAAAGTTAGCAAGTCAAGAAAACTTAAAAAAAATTTTTTTTAAATATATTTTATTGCCAAAACTGGTTTGGCTCAGTGGATAGAGCATCAGCCTGCAGACTGTAAGGTCCCAGTTTCTTTTCCAGTCAAGGGCATGTACCTTGGTTGCGGGCACATCCCCGGTAAGGGGTGTGCAAGAGGCAGCTGGTCGATGTTTCTCTCTCATCAATGTTTCTAACTCTCTATCCCTCTCAATTCCTCTGTATGTAAAATCAATAAAATATATTAATATATTATTGATTTTCTTTTTACAGAGAGGAAGGGACACTTGTAGCTAAGAGGTGGGAAAAGCAGGTTGGAGGCAGGGGGTGGATTGTGATTCAGCAGATTGAATTGTGCATTGGATTCCGTTTTAATAACAGAAGCTACATTTCAAATATATTTTTATAAAAAAACAAAACAAAAAAAAACACCATGTAACAAACCAAAAAGGCAAACAAACAACAAACAAAAGAAATAGGTATGTAGAAGGATGGATGAACAAATAGTTTTGACTTCTATTGTTGTTTTATTGTTGTTGTCCTTTGTAATTATCTTATTTTAGCTGGCAAAACAATTTGTTATCAGTATGCAATATGTTTGTGTATTAACATAGTTACTTTATTCCACACAAAAATTTACATTTTCCTTAATATGAAATATTGCATCGTTATATTCATAAAGGAATTAAAATACAGAAAAAATATTAGGCTATTGGGAATATAGTAGAAATTATTTTACTTTCATAATTTTTTAATCTACTACATGTTTTAAATCAAAATGGAAAATTGAAGAAAACATGGGACCTCTCTTCTGCTTTCTTATTTTTATTGTTAAATGTTTCCAAACCAGCCCAGCTGGTGTGGCTCAGTGGTTGAGCAAAAACACATGCCCCAAGCGGTCACGGGTTTGTTTCCCTGTCAGAGAACATGCCTGAGTTTTAGGCTTAATTTCCAGTAGTGGGTGTGCAAGAGGCAGCTCTCATAGATGTTTCTATCTCTCCCTCTTTCTCTCTTTCTAAAAATCAATGAAAATGCATTTAAACGTTTCTAAATCCTATTTCTCCAAATTGAAGGCTTTGATTAAAGTCATCAAGAATCTCTTACATACTTTGTCTTTTAGATTATAGCTCTCATGGTGGTTTGAAGGAAAATATAACACTTCTGATGAGGACCTAACACATCAAAACTTGATTTATGAACAGTGGCATCTAAGTGCTTGTAAACTTTACTCTTTAATAGCACAGCACAGATTAAAAGGAAAAGAAACTGAAGTCTCTGTAATTTTATTGCAAATTTAAAATTTCAGACTTGGGAGATTTGCTTTAGTTCCAACAAGGGTAATAACCTCAGAATGTGCTGAGTTCAGATTTAATCCAAAAAATATGTTAGACTGAATCTGATTTAATTAATTGTCTTCCTTGTTTCTCTTTGTTCCCCCTTCTCCTTTCTTTTTTGCAGGTGGTTCAGAAGTGTATTCCTTTCTTAATTGGGCATTTGAAGGACTCAACCCATAGTGACGTCATCCTAAACATCCTCATAGAGATCGCAGGTTATGAACCGGTGGCTTTGAGCAGTTTCCTTCCAATGCTGAGGGAGATTGGTGAGAGATTCCCCTACCTCATTGGACAGATGGCGAGGATTTATGGAGCTGTTGGGCATGTGGATGAAGTAAGTATGGCTTTTTTTTCTCTCTCTCTCCATTTCTTTAAATTCCACTGGCACTCAATCCATTGAAGCTCTATGACCTACACATTTTTCCTGGGACTTCTGAGAGTTCTCATTTCTTTTTGAACCTTTTGTGTCAAAGCCACATTATATAGCAGGGCTACATGGAAGGTTCAGGAAGTGAGGATTTCATTGCTGGAGTGGCACCTGAGGAAGGAAAGGGTAAAAATGGAAAGAGCAGTATGACAGAGTCAAGACCATCTTATAATAACAAAACCAATTAAGGAGTTTCATCTTATTCTGGTCACAGTTCTGATTAACCCAGGAGACCATCAGTAAGCATGGAGTCAGAGACTCCCTATCTATCTATCTATCTATCTATCTATCTATCTATCCATCTATCTTTATTTATTTATAAAAGTCTAAGTCAGGCGTCTTTAAACTAGGGCCCGCGGGCCACATGCGGCCCGCAGAGGAGTCTGATCCGGCCCGCCAGGTTTTTTGGGCAGTGAGCGCAGCCGAGGTGTTACAGTAGGAATTAGTAGTTCATATAGTCCGGCCCTCCAGCTCTCTGAGGGACCGTGATCTGGCCCCCACTTTAAAAAGTTTGAGGACTCCTGGTCTAAGTGAACAAAAGGCTGGAACAACCAGAACGACTGGTTGCTATGACATGCACTGACCACCAGAAGCTGCCCCATAGTGGTCAGTGTGCTCCCACAGCCAACCTTCTGTAGCCAGTCAATCTCCTATGGTCCCTTTCCCTGTCTGGCAGGCCCCAGCTGGCAGCCAAAAGGTCCCAATTGGCACTGATCACCAGCTAGGCCTAAGGACCTCACCTGTGTACCAATTTTGTGCACCAGACCTCTAGTTATTAATGAAAGCCCATGGGTTTTCTGTCAATAGGGGCCTGGATGCAGTATGCTTTGCGTCTTCTGGATGAGGTTACTTGGGAAAGTGAAATAAACATTCGTGGATGTTAAAAGTCCTAGCCTAAATATTTGCATGATGGAACCTTTTAGCAGGGATCACAGGATGCCATCAGAGCTCTCATGGGGATTAGGCGACTAAGAAAGAATTTTCAGAAGTTCAAGTTCTGAAGAGTGTGTGCATGCCTGTATACATACAGTTACATGTATGTCTGATGATTTTATATTGGGATTTAGGATCTTTATCTTTTTTAAAAAATATATATATTTCATTGATTTTTTACAGAGATTAAGAGAGAGGGATAGAGAGTTTGAAACATTGATGAGAGAGAATCATCGATCAGCTGCCTCTTGCACATATCCTACTGGGGATATGTCCGCAACCAAGGTATATGTCCTTGACCAGAATCGAACCTCGAACCTTTCAGTCAGCAGGCTGATGCTCCATCCACTGAGCCAAACCGACTTCGGCTAGGATCTTTATCTTTTAAAAATAAAAGCAAATACATAATTGATAGAGGGAAGCTTTTACTTTTACCCACTGATATATAATAGTTTCCTATAAGATAAAAGAGATTTCTATAGTTTGTCAACTCAACCCCTTGATTCTACACAGGAGAAAGTTAAAAACTGAAAAAGCGAGGTGACTTACGCAGACCGAGTTGGCTGGTGACTCCATTGGAATTAGATCTTTGATATTCTTTGTTTTGTGTTTTGTTTTGTTTTTTCCAAATATTGTGTCCGAATGGGTCTTTGGTTCTGCTGAGATTTGTAGAGCGCCTGGTGACTGCTGGGCTTCCTCGTGCTGCAGGGCTTTCCCCTCGTTTCCCCAGAGAAGGTGGGAGAGCTGAGCTCCCAAGCAGCCGGCACGCATCAACGTGAGGGCGGATCTTGTAAAAGGATTACGTTGGTAGGGATACGCTGCTTAGTCTAATCCCTCTCTGCCCATAACTGTGGGGAAAGTCTCACGCCTGCCACAATCCGTCTTCTGGTTACACTTTCCCGTGCCGTCGTCACCTTTGCTGCCAGAACCGGCTCGAGTGCCCAAGTGCCTGAAGGCTAACTTCAGCTGACAGCTGTTTGATTGGATCTGCTGATCTTGCAGATTTTTTTTCCCCTGGACTGAAAAATGCAGCCTCTGGTGTAGAAGGCCCTGGAATCTTTAGAAAGTGTACTTTTCCTGGGCTTTGACGGTGTTCTTTTTGGCACAAATGTACTCATGATTCATTCAAGTGTAGTAATGAACATTGGAAATGACTAAACTTCCCACAGAAAAGGTGATATAAATACATTAAAATAAAACACTAGCCATATAACAATTATGTCACTGTAGGTTTTTTCTGACATACGGCAAACCTGAAAATATTTATGTTTGAGGGAGAAAATATTTATTTTTCCGGTGGTTCTGATTCAGCTTTCCAGTAGAGAACAATTGTAGAGCAAATAATTCCAAATGTGTCTGTGTGTAAAGATTACATGGGAAACGTTTTTTACATTATACAAGTTCTTGGGACCCATAGAATACCCATTAAATCAAAATCTCCAGGAAAAGGACCCAGGACTCTGGATTTAGGGGACCCTCTCCCAGGGTACTTCTGATGCAGTTGCTTGTGAATCAGTGTTTTAGATCCTTTGACATTAAGTATTTAAAACATTTTTCTCTTCTAAACTTAGAATCAGGCCTTGTCCATCACCCATCCCACTCTGCTTCCATCAAGCCAGGCTAATCAGTTAAAACTATTCTAAACTACTGGAAACTATTGCAGTTTAGACTAGGTGAGGCTGAGAGTGACCCCAAAATTAAAGACAACAGTAGCCTAAACGAAGATACACATCTACTTCTCTTGCATATACAGGTCTCAAATGCAGTCAGTCTAGAACTTCCTGTGGCAGGAACCCAAAGTTTTTCTGCGTTGTTGCTGTATCATCCTTGAGCACATGGCTTCCATCTCATGGTCCAAGATCACTAATCATCTTTACCTATCAAGTCAGTATTTCAGACATCAGGAAAAGGAAAGGGGAGAAAGACTTTTCCCAGACAGTCAAACACAACCTATTGTTTATATCCCATTGACTAAATAAAACTAAGCTGCACTGGCCATCTTTAGCTGCAAGGGAGGCTGGAACATGTACCGTATTTTCCGGCGTATAAGACGACCCCCTAATTTTATAGTTAAAACATAGGTTTGGGCCTATATTCGCTGTATAATACTACCCCCCACTTTAAAGAAAAGACCTACTTTGCCGTCAAGATCTGCAGGTAATTTTTGTGCAATTTTGGTCTTTTGCCCCCGATTTTTGGTTGACTTTTTTTCATTTCAAAAGTTGTCCTATATGCCGGAAAATACGGGTCTGGATCCAGGATGCTATGTGCCCAGCTAATTGAGAGAACAGGGCAGAAAGAATGATAGAGGACAATGAATGTGTATGTTGCTGATTATTGAGTCATTTTATTTATCTGGGTCTCTTTTCTTAAAAGTAATGTTTTATACTGCTTACCTCCCTCTGGCTCTGAATGTCTTTGATTCCTTTATTTCATTCCATTTAGCATCAGCCTGACAAGATTACCTATAATTGTCAGCAAGGCTCCTTTACTCAGGAATAATGCCCTTGTTATTGGTTTCTAATACCTAAATGTCACCTTTAGAAACTCCTTCTTTTAACTTTAAAGAATGCTAAAGTTAAAATGTTCCAAGAATAAGTAGAGTAGTCCAAGCAGCCATGAACTGTTTAATTTTAGTGAACCGATCAACTCTTTAAAAATCGTGTGGAGCCATATTCCTAAATACCAAAACCAACAGGCAAGATATACATATATGTATGTGTATTTCTACCTAGCCTCTTTCCAAAAATGAACAGGAAATTACTGATGTAATTGCCAGGTGGGCATGAGGGCAGAAGTTGAGTGTGGGGTTCTGGGCATTTATGGAGAAGAAAACTGCAATAAAGAGGGAGCAGCAAGAACTTTGTCCTGAAAGGGCCCTACTACTCTCTGTTTAGAGAGCTAGGTCCATGGTGAGATGAAGGGATAAGATATGGAAAATGTTTAAAGTGTTGATGGTAAGACAGTCATAGTGATGCTCATGGGGAGGCCAAGGGAGTCCTCAACCCAGTGGTTGTGTCCAGGTTCTTGTCACTGCACAGGAAAGAATTCAAGAGCGAGACAGAGAGGTTTAGCAAAACAGCAGATTTATTAAAGTGACACTATACACTTAAGAAGGAAGTGTGGGCAAAATCAGACAGTGAATCACACAGAGGAGGTTTTTATGAACTATGGTGAAGGGGAGGGAATGGAGGTGGTTCCTGGTCTCTGATGCCAGGGGTGGGAGGCGAGGGGTGATTGTCAGTGCAGCTCATCTCAGTCCCTCTTCTCCATATGATAGTATGATGATCTGGAGGGCTTAGAGGTTTCAGAACTGCCATGTATGTCAGCTGAGACTAATTTTGATTCTCTTAACTGTTTCTTATCCCAGGAAATTGGGAGAGGGACAATGGAGGTGTGGGGAGACAGGTGTCTGGCCACACATCATACCCACAGAGTTCTAACTTAGAAAGGAAGGGGAGAGGTAGAGCCTGAGGCTTTTGTTCCCTATGCTAGCTTTCTTGCCTCAGTAGGACCCTAGTGACCTAAGGCCTTAGGATCCTCTCTTCATCCGAAACTGGACTAATCTAAAAATTGATTTAATTTGAAAATTTTATCTTTGACACCAAAGTGAAAATTTCAGATGCATTTAGGGGTTCCAAGTATTACTAATTTTGTTGCTAAGACTTTAGAGATTTTAAAAATGAAGAAAAGCTCATCAAATTTTGAGTATCTTGCTCCAACTTTTGAAATGCACAATCTGTGACTAATTGACTCCGACTGTTCCATCCTCCCTTGTTGCCTGGCTTCTGGCAAACTGCATGGTTTGATCTATAAGAGGAAGAAGGGAGCCTCCTGGGAGTTTGCAGGCCAGGGGTGGTCTCAGGGGTAGAATCAGCTCTGAGTCAATCACACACGTTATTAATTGACTCACGCTTCACCTTCTGTGCTTGTGTGAAGCCAGGTGTAAGAACTCTAGGGCCAGCTATGGGGAA